CAAAGCAATGCGCCGCGCACGCCGAGCAGGACATGCGTCGGGGGGGATTCGCGCCAAGGATACCAAACATCACCGTGGTCATTTTGTGGCGCTGGCGAGCGGCGTCTCCTTCGGCGGCGGCCAGAAGGTACATACTTCCTGTAGCTAAATTGTCAATGCAAACGGTTTTCAATGCCTTCAGAAACCGGGGAACCTCGTCCATCCTAAGAATCGACAAAAGATTATCGAGTCCCTTCTTTGCAATAAAAGCCTGCGGCGGCTCGCGGGCTTCCAGTCCAGTAAGTGTCCTTCACCGCCAACATGTCTATCACCACATTCATATACGCCCCCAAGCTCTGGCGATACTATGTCGACGTCCTGCGGCTCCTTTTTGAGCACCACCCGGGTCTACAGCACAACTTCACCAACTCCATTTTCCCCGCCGCTACCTTCAACCTAGGCCCCGACGTCGTCACCGACGAGCACATGGACTTCAATAATCTCGTCCATGGCCTCTGCGGTGTTACCTCCGGGGGGAAATTCGATCACACCAAGGGCGGCCAGATCTACATGAAGCAGATCAAGCTGGTGATCGACTTCCCATCTGGGTCGAGCATACTTTTCCCATCTGCCTTCATTGACCACGGAAACACGCCCATTCAGGGCGGGGAAACACGTTTCTCGCTCACTCAGTATGCCGTTGGGGGCCTGTTTAGGTGGGTAAAATACGGCTTCCGTTCGGCCAAGTCTGTGCTCGCAAGTGCAGGCGGCGCCGACCTAATCGCTTCATTTGATGGAGTGCCGGGGTCTCGGTGGCAGTGGGCCATGAATCTGTTTTCGAAGGTCGACGAGTTGGAGACCAATCGCCAAACCGCTTTGGGCGCCGCTTACATGTAATATTTCTGACCCCCCTTAGAAAGTTGTCCAGTAGTAGATATATATAACACCCTTGAGCTGACAAGCTGAGACACATATACATGCCACCATCTACAGTAAAGGAACGCGACCCGGAGACCCAAAAAAAAATCGGTGAGCGCGAGCGCGAACCTCAGTCAGCGGAATATGTTGAACGGTTCTTCAGACCGGCTGCGTGAGCTGCGATATGGGCGGAAACTCCGGACAACGCCTACACTCGGGCTGCCATTTCCTTCCTCGCCGCCTGTTGTTCCTCTCCCACCCGTTTCTCCCCCACCCGACTCCACGCGCAAGGAACCAGCAGCACACGGGCCGGATTTTCATATGAGGTGCCACCAATGCACGCGCCATCTTTGGCGGTGCACATGTGGTACCGCACAGGAGCGGGAGATCGCCCGGAAAGCCGCCGACGATCGGTGGTTTAAGGCTGACCCGAAAGGGTGGTTTGACTACCATGCACCACCCCAGCTTCTGCAACCCTCGAGAGAGCAGATCACGGCTGAGCTGCAGCGCGGGCTGGAGGAGGCGGAGGAGGCGGAGCAGAGGGACGCGAGGCGCAAAGCGGCTTGGGAGGCGACTCTGGAGGCTTGGCGCGCGGAGATACGGGCACCGCTGCAATCGGTTTTGGAAGAATTGGTCATGATTGCGCAAGAGCGCATGACACGCGCGGGCGAGCGCGGGGAGCAACGAGCAAGGGGGGGCGCGTCTGACGGCGAGCGGTTCGTTGGTTGATGGTGATGTGTACCTGAAATCAAGTCCATTACCATTTTAGAAATACACTCACAACTCTCTTTATTCCAAACCACCACGGGATGCTGAAAAGCGATTCGAAAAAGGGCGTCGGGTCCATCTCGTTGGAATTGAAACGCGGTAAGTGCCGAATATATTTATCTGAATCTCACGACTCACAGAATACAGAGGCGTTACAGAAGGGGGGCATGACGCCGGGCTTGAAAATCTGGCTGACTGTCGCTAGCGAGAAGAAGACACGCCCCCCTGGCTACGTCGCAGCGTACGACCGAATCGTCGCCAATTTTGCGGCACAGAAGGCGCGCCTGGACCTACTCTACAAGCAGCGGGCGCCGCGTGGTACCCCGCGCGCCATTCTGCAGCTGCTGCGCCATCGAGACCGTCGCGAAGTCGAGACGAGGACACAGGTTTTGGGGAGGCGAGTGGCGTTGAAGGAAAATACAGCGGACGTTGAGGCCAAGAGGATTAGGGACATGAGGGTGCAGCATTTGTTGTCGTTGTGGGCGCGTCGCGCCTGAATTAGCGTTACATCGGCGCGCCTAGGTTTACCCAGATACGCGTCAAACCTGCGGCCTGGTACTTTGATGGCTGTGGAGATATTAGATCGAGTGAATCAATTGATGGCAGAACATCGCACCTTTTTCTTTCCTTCGTACTCAGCAAAATCCCTGACGATGAACTCGGAGGGGGAGCCCCGCTCTTCCTCAGCCAGCACGGGGATCCGGGGAAAGGCGCGAATTAATAAAGGTATGTGTCGTATGTGTTTGCAGCGCGAGACACTCATCTTTTGTACAGAGCCTCTGCCACAGATTGCATTGGACCCTGTCCGAGCACTGCGCCGGCAGCGCGCGATCAAGCAGCATCGAGCTCTAAATGGGCGGCGCTCACGTTCGTTGCCTGTCGAGACGTACGAGGACGCTGCCTAGGACGAAGAGTGGCAGAGGACATTTCAGGCATTGATGGAGGTGGAAGAGGCAGGCGTTAGGTGCGCGTTATCGCAGCTGTCCTACCTCATTCTGACCGCTCTATGATCAGGGACGAAACTGAGTGCGGCGCCTCCTCCATTGACGATATCGACAAAGACCGGGCGGCCGTGATAGATAAGGTCGGGGAGCTGCGCGCGCAGTTGTCTGCAAGCGTGGAGAAGGTTGAGGGGAAGGAGGTTGAAGAGTTGGTCGTGCCGAAGGAGGGCGACGAGGGGTGAGTATTATGCATCGACCTCCACGTTTCCGCTGACTTTCGCGCAATCAGGGATTTGCAGCCCGCGCAAACCAACTGGGGGCCTCTCCTGATCGCGCTCGCAGAGTGGCGCGAACGAATTCAGGCTGGCAACGGGTGCGGACGGCTATGTATTCAGGCGGAAGGCTGCTGACTTCGAATTAGGGACGAAGGGGATGTTGACGCGGCGTCCATGTCCGATGAAGACGACGAGGTGGACCCACAGTGGGCCTACGCTGTACGCAGGTGCATGGATGCGTGCCGGGAGCCAGATCGGCGGGAGTGGCTGGCTGACATTGCCGCGCAGGAGCAGCTTGAGCGCGCTCGCGAGCTGTTTGCTCCCATGTCGCCCCAAGCCAGTGAATGGTATCCGCGTCTGGCACGTCGCCGGGCGCGGTTGCTGGAAGCAGTTGCCGAGAGCATCGAGGCTAGAGCGGGCGTAGACGGCAAGGCCTGGGACGATTATTCTACGACTGAGGCTGAGTACGTTGATGTCTAGTTACTTCCGCTGCGCAAAGTTTCAAGTGAACGTAAATTTCCAAGCGAATATAAATTGCATTGCACAGGCATTTGAGATAACTAGGCGTCGCATAGTCAGCAGAATATTGAAGAGTCTGAGTGGATTGCGTACAATATAGTACCGACTACCTAAAGTTTGGCGGCGATGGACGCAATGGGATAGCACAAGCGACAGTGGCGACAACACGGCACAAAGTCGTCCTGAGGGACGAGCTCCGGAATGTCGTCCTCGTCTTCGTCACCTCGATCGGCGTCTGAGCGAGCTCGGTCTGCCGCACGCAGACGGAAGTTGGCATCAAGGCTGGAACACGGAAAAGGTTAGCCAAGGCAATTTGGGATTTTGAAACACGCACGCGATTAAAAAGGCGAAGGAATAATCATAAAATGGACGTCTTTCACCTTTCTGAAGGTCTGCTATGTAATGTCAGTGCTGGCGCGTAAACTCGGAGGTCGGCAACCCACCTGATATGACCGACATGATCGTTCTCGCCAAGAGATCTTTGATGGTCAACAAGCCCAGCCAAACAACCTTCTTTTCCTTCTCTTCCTCGATGACCGGCTTTCGCTGTGCTGTGCCCTTCTACGCGGATCCCGGTCAACCAAACGGCCCACTGCCAGGCCAGAAGATCTATCTGGTTTCTGGACGCAATGTTTGCTTCCCGGGAGCATACGTTTCATGGTGCGCAACAATGTAATCTTGATTCTTATCTATCACTGACTCTCTCGTAAATTGCAAGGCCCAGTGCTGAGGCACAGTGGACGGGCGTCTCGGACGCCTCGATGATGTCGTACAGGCATTGGGAACCCCTGGAAGCCGTGTGGTGGGCCGGCTGCGATCGCGGCGAGCATGATCATTCCGTCTTGAATGATGATGCGGCCGGGACTCTTATCTTGTGGGCGAGCCCGACTCCCTCGCTGTCGACGTCGCCCTCGTCTTTATCGGTCTCGCCTCCTTCGCCCTCTTTGCCATCCCCTTCGTCACTGGCGGCCTCCTCTCCGTCGCAGCTACCCCGTTCCTCGTCCCGGACCAGATCCCGTCGCACCCCACGCAAATCCAGTATGGTCCCTGCTTTGGATAAGGCGCCTGCTGCGCCGGCGACCGCCCACATCGCAGGTAGGATGGCATATGCGGTCAAACACAACGGCGGAGGGGTCGTCTTCGACGACTACGGCTGCGCGCGCGAGCTTTACCATACGCTGCAGGCCGAGGGCGAAAGCCCCTCCCTCGCTTCCTGCCCTTCTCTGACAGAGGGAGTGTGCTTCGCGGAAGGGTTTTTACTGGAGCGGGCCTCTGCGGCGCGGCGCCGCTGGATCGACGAAGAGCGCGTGGCACGTCGCCGAAATGTGGCGGAGAAATGGGCGACCGGTCTGGATGATTGGAGGAAGCGCAACGGGGTGTGGACAAGCGGGTCGGACGACGAGTGGGATGGGTGATGTCGGCCGACCAGGAGTGGGCCTATGTAGTCGATGCATTTGTTAGCCGTCTGAATGCCATTGAAACTGCTGCTTGCCTGAGTACGCAAAAAAAAAAATTGAAGTCGTCAAAATTCCAAGTACAAACGGACTGGAAAGATTCCTAAAGAAGGAAAAAAAAAAAACTTTCTAAAGAAGCAAACCTATGCCCCAAACCGGAGTCGAACCGGCGATCTCCTAAATACACATATACGTTACGTTACAATAATCAGGAGCTTAACCATTAAGCCATTGGAGCGTTGAGTGAAAGAGGATATTACTCATGTCATTGACTCTCAAAGTCGTGCTTCGCGTCAGTCGAATCGGCTTCACACGTGGTCATCAACAACCTCGTCTGTCTTTCCCTCTTATTTATTCGGTCGATGGCCTCCAGCCACAAGCGCAAGCACACCGTCGATGACACTACGTTCTACTCCAGCGGCTCGGGCTCGGGCTCTGCGTCGGATTCGGATGCTGGCGACGACGACGACCTTGAAGAATACTACTACGAAAGCCTATTGCGGGACCCAACGACAGGCAGAGGCGTGTACACCGCGGCCATGGTCAGCGCCGCGGTCCCCACCTCCCCCGCTAAACGGGTAGCCGTCCCTCCTCCCCGGCCCGATGGGGAGAGCACCTGGATCTACAATTTCATGGATAACGATTGGTCGTTCCCTCTCGAGGACCAGCCACCACCTTCAGGGGATGAAGCCGATGATGGCGAGGATTCCTCCACGTCCGTCGACGCTGAGACACTCAAGCGGGAACCCGTACGTTTATTTTTATTTTTATACCTAATCTGCATTAAGGCGAGACTGATTCCTGTCCCTATAGTACAGGCCCCTGCCTAAGTGGAAGGCGGAACATCGTTGGGA